CTTTCATGCCTCTGAGAAATGTAGTTTATCTTTCTCGTTAAATATGATGGCAGCAGTCCCACTCTAATTTTGAAAATAAACACCATTGTACAAAATAAGTTCCTTTACTCAGAACCATTCAAATGCGCTTTTCATTCCACGAATAGGTGTTCTTCTCGGACAAGATAGTATCATCATGTGGTAACACCAATGAATTGAATAGTAAAATTTCCGACCACCGAGTCAAAGAAAAGGCACATCTATACAAGAACGAGAGCTTGAAAGAAATAATCTTTATAACATAATCAGCATGACATTTAAATTTTAGGTTTTTATCAATTATGACTTCCAGATATTTGAACTTTTCTACAATCTCTAGCTTATTGTTGTCAATTTTTATTTCAATGCCCTTGCTTACAAACTCCCTATAATACCTGTCTGATCCCAGTATCATACATTTTGTTTTTAGAATATTGATTTTCAATGAGTTTGCACAACACCACCTATGTATGCTATCCAGATTTCCATTAATGACATTTCCAATGTTTTCCACATCTGAAGATGAAAATAATATACATCATCAGCAAATAAATGGATCTCAATTCCCTCAAAAACTTCAGCAATGTCATTAGTATAAATCAGAAACATCAATGGTGCTAAAACGCTTCCTTGTCGAACACCTATTCCAGTTCTGATTCAACTTGATTATCCCTGACTTTCTGCCTACTCCCAGTTTCGAAGCAATTCCAGTGCCTCATCCTCAATGCCTACCTTTTTCAGTTTTAAAAGCAGCCTTCTTCTATCCACTGTCTAGAAAGCCCTTTGCAAATCCAGAAAAACAGCACACACCGCCTGATTCCTGGCATTATAGCGCTTCCAATCGTCCAATACATATTGTATAGCGGACTCGCAGTTATTTTTTGCTCTAAACCCTGACTGATATTGAGCGAAAATACTATTTTCCTCTAAATGATCTACAAGTTGCTCATACAAGACCTTCTCAAAAACTTTTGTTACAGAGCTGAACATGTTAACAAACAGGTCTAAATTCTGCTGCCATCTGTGCATTGGACGTTTTTGGAATAGGGACAATTGTTGAGATTTTTAGTTGTGTTGTGCTAATAATGAATTGAAAAAAAAAACAATTCTAAGTAGGGATAATTAAAATTAAATAAAAACAAAATACATGTTGAATGAAATTTAACAAAAACAAGCATAAATTTAACATGGACTTGACAAAAAGATTAGTAGTTGGTAAGCCCTCCCCAATTCCTAATCACATCCGCCACAGCCAGTCTTGATTTCATTCTACTCCATACATGCTCAATCGGATTCATGTCAGGCGACTTTGCAGGCCACTCCAGTCTTTCTATATTGTCGTTTCTAAGAATTTCCGTATAAATATATCATCCACATAGACAAAATCATTATAAAATACCAAAGTTGTTTGCATAGGGAACAACAATATCACTTACACATAAATCAAGGTGCCGTTCTGCATTCATACTATCTCTCATTAAAATTACCAGTTCAGTCTTCCCATTCCAAAAATTGGGGTGTTCGCGTTCGATTGATGCTTAGTTTAGTTCATAAGTCTGTTCACTAAAGGACAAAAACGCAGAAATGACAACTGAGATGGACCTTTGGAGCAGAATGGCAGGTAGGTCAAAAATGGAAAGGATAACAAACCAGAGAATTAGATAAACTATGAACGTAATAGTTGATAATATCAAAGGCATGTACATGGAATGGCAGAAGACTGGGCAGGCCGAGAGGCAGCTGAAGAAGTGCAGCAGACGAGGAAATGAGAGACTGAGGCTTGAACGAGGATGCCTGGATTGGGAAAGATGGTTGGAGATCGGGAATTGGAAGACGTGGAATGTTACAGACCGACAGTTATATATTATAGAATAATAAAATCCAAATCAGTTAAGACACAAAAATGCTGTTATAACAGGGTCAAAACCGCAACAGCAACAAAAACACTTACAAAATGTCTGTATGATTGCAAACCTTTCTACAGACGTTAATCAAATAGCGTTTGGTTAGCTGACCTAAAGAGATTGGCAGGAGCATGTTAGCCAATTGACGAGACGAAATGGTAGTTCTGTTTTTACAGACAGTGATGTAGTCTTGACCTTAAAGGAAGAAGAGTTTTAATTCTTAGAGGCACGAAGGAAGCAGAATCTACGGGGGCCCGATTCTCGTCCCCAGGAAGTAGAGCTCCCCGAGAGAACAAATGTTTTGTCCTTGTCAACGTAATCGAAAAGTGAACGAGAATGATAAAGACAAAAAATTTGTTTTTTCCGGGAGCTCTCCTCTCCCTGAGACGAGAATCGGGCCCCAGAGTCTGTCATCCCAATACCCGCAATGAAACTGACAACCTTCTGCAGATTGAACAACAGGCACTTACTACTCAGGCCCCAAAAAAGAATGCTGTATCTGAGATAGGAATCAAACAAGGCAAATACACCGACCAAATGTATCTGTATTTCTTCTGCCTCCTGGAATATCAGAATAGTTGAATTTTGTTAATTATTCAAGTGAAAGTTATTTAAATAGTAAACTTTCATATAATTTGAATCGCAGGACACAAAAACAATAGAAACCTTAGACCACATCCTCAACCTATGTTCATTCAATGTCAACTACTACGACAGCTTCTGACATACTGCACAATCCCACTGATAAAATGTACAATTTTAGATCATGAAAAGGGTTAAATCTAAATTGGATCTACCACTGTCGTCCACAACCATAAATAAATGTGTTACACTTACATTATGGCCTGTGCTGCTAAAATTAACTTGTTATACAATAATTGTTGTACAGTGAAAGTAAAACCTACTAACCGATTTATTTATCATAATGTTAAGTCTGCTGAAATTTCCGTAACTTATTATTTAGCTTCAAGGAAAAGTTTAATTTATAGTAAGAAATAAACATTTCGACAGAAAACAAAAATAAATAAATAAGATAGGCACTAGCAACTTTTTGGCAATCTCAAAATTTCGTATTTTATGTCAAGGTCAGAGCTGTCCAATTTTTTATTCTAGTCATTCATGGTTTTCAAAACTATTACTATGATTGTGTTTCAAAGTTCATTGAAAAAACAGTGTGGCTTGATGAATTTAATATTCAAAACCATGCATGCAAAAATAATGATTAAAGTTTATTATGTTTGCCGTTAAAAAACCCTGCCAAAAATATTGTTTGGTTTGGGCTAATTTTGTGGTTGGATAGTGCACAAGCATTTCTTCTAAATAGTTATTGAATGTGATTCACTGTCAACAAAGTCCACTATTTATTTAATAAGCCATATGAATCATGCCGCCACCAAAAGACTATAAAAGCTGACGGAAAATTCCAACTTAATCACTTCATGGCACTAAAAATGATTTGCCATTGTGTATTGTCAACTATTGTGAAATGAACATTACGTTTTACGATAAGGTTTGCGACTGTTGATAATTAATTGCTGGTTTATTCCAAGCGATTAGGTTTCAAATAAAATAAGCAATTTCAGTCTTATAGGTAAACAATTCGTATTTTCAAATTAGAACTGTTTCAAATCAAATCGTTAAATTAAGCAAAGGCTGTCATTCCAACCCTTAATAATTTTTCAGACTACTGGATCAATAACCCTACCAAAGTTTACCTACTAAGGACTTAGCTGATAAATCATCTAAATACATATTACCAAAAGCAGATAAAGCAAACCTTAAGTTATCCTCTAATTCTAATTCTACTGCGTATTGACATGGATAATAAAATTTCACAACATTATATTCTTATATTACATGCATTGGCTAACAAACATTTTTTAGCAGTCATTTAAGTAAGCAACCGAATAAATTTAAAATATAAACTAACTAATTTGTTGGTAAATTTACATATTCATTTAACACTCCACTCTGTTAAAAATAGCTTGTTACCTGTCTTTAAGCTCTCCAAAAAAGTACAATCAGTTGACCTTGTGACACAAATAGCGATATATTTAATTTTTAATCACATTGATCCCAAATTTTTAACATAATTAAACACAAACAAATTTATAAATAGGATTTAAAAATAAATCTTTCAATATTGTCAGAATTCCCATTATTCCTTTATAGTGATTTCTATTACTCACATAATTAAAAAGTGCATAGCCAGAATATGATAAAGCCAAAGATAAAACCAAATCATGAAAGGATCGTGTCACGTTGGATTAAATAGCATTCATCAGCTTTTCATGTTTTATTAACCGTGACTATTAATAGAAGCGTGAATTACTTAATCAATTAGCGTATATCAGCAATTTATCTTAGGAATAATCTTATGAATGTAATTTTAATATACCAAAAATTTCTTTAGAAATTTGGTTTTTTGACAGTTAAAAGAATGCTATAGAGTCATGAAGAAATATTTTCAGCAAAAAAAAAAACAACAATTTCTGCCACATAAAACACAACTTTCACCAGAATCACTTCCTCAAATTCCTTTTAGTGGTCCTTTTCAAATTTAAAATTTTGTTTACCTATTCATAAACTAGGTAATTTATATTTGGAGAAGCATTTAACACCCTATTTAAGTTAAATCATTCAACCACTTTACTCAGGGATATACCAAGACAAAATTATCTGCAAAGTTCTTCTATTGATACTGAGACTTCACTATTTTAATTTTATAGTGATGCGTAGTAGTCTCTAAAAAAAACTGTAATTTTTAATGAATTTATATAGTTTTCCAAATAAGTCTTACAAAGATACGTATTCAAAAAGAATAAAATATTATTTATACATTAAAAGTAACATTGACCTTTAATGTAAAGTTCTCCTCATGCTTGACCTTTAGTTCAATCAAAATAAAAATGTCTTTGTTTTCGTGATACCAAATTATATTGCAAATATTGCTTGAGCTTTTAAATTATTGTCATTAATCATATCATTAAATTATTTCATCATAGCTTATATCTATTTATAACAAATATTATTGCTATGCATTCTTGTAAATATAACTTTTGTATTTTTTAATTTCAGATTTCCAGTAATGTGTAGAAGGGCAAGCGAAAGATCTCAATCAATCTAAGCTTATCATTATGAAAGGCTCGCTGGATAATGGTAATGGCGATAGTGGAGGAGGCGCTGCTGGGTTGTCACCATGCGTCGGAACTCAACGAAACAAAAAACGATTCCCGGGGCGCTGGTCGCTACGACAATTGATTTATTCCTCACCGTTGTCTCGAAGGCGCAGTTCCGGTAGTGGCGGTGGTACTTCTAATAAAGTTTATCGGAAAGTGGATCATAGTAATACAGGTACTTACTAATATAGTTTTTCTTTAATTTAGGTTCGGCTGCAAATTATATCATACATAGGTACCTATAAATTTCCATAATGTTCAATCTTTACCTAAAATTTGTAAGTACACCTCATTTGTCATTGGTAGTTTTCACAATAGAACAAATTCCTAATAAATATCAACTCACGCAGGTAGTGCACCTTGGAGTCTGCTGATCTGCATCGATGTAATTTCGTGTTCTTCATGTTCCTAATGTTTTGTACACCCTTATATTCTTGAGAATTTCAGTAATACCTACCTGCAGCTTGAAATTTGAATTTCACATTTATTTTTCATTACTGTCATTCCGCGTATCATTCCAATTTCTCTCAAAGTTGGTTTACTTTCAATCCCCCATGTTGGATCCATGTAACAAACTTATCAACATTTTCAACAAGCAGTAATTCTCCACCATTGAATTTTTCTAATTTGACATTTAATGTTTACTGTAGAATTATGATGATTTGTACTTTATTTCCTTCTGGTTGAGAGCACAGACTTTCCTCTGAATTACTCTCATGTGAATCAGATGTCATAGTTATAATAATTATTAATGGTTTCACAGTCTTTTCCAAGAGGTTGTCAAGGTTCCACATGTTTTATTCTGGCAAGCGAAGTATAATTATGTCCCATCCGTCGGCCAGAACGTCTTTTGAACTGTGACTTTTATTCTTTTGCTATTTTCAGAGACTTCTCAAAATATAATTTTCATAAGGTATTCTTGTTTCATCTAGCCAATTTCGAATGTCTTCCTTCCGCCAGGAACATGATTTTTCTGGTATTCTGGAATGATAGCTGGCGTTGTCTATAACAATGAAGGAACCTTTAGGAATGGATGTTATTATTTCAGAAAAGTTTCAGAAACATAGGCCGTCATTTGTTCAGGACAATCGTTGGTTTATTACTAGGTCTATTTCTGCAGAAATCACAAACCAGTCAGAGTGAATTTCATTGGTTGAAACTAGTTTTCTGATTGTTTTCAACCAATGAAATTCGTAGTAAACAGTTTACACTGATGAAACTATTGGATTAGGTAAAGTTTAACCATTATTAATTGAAATTTCATAAAAAAGGCGGCTCAGTTGATCTCTTTGAAGTCACGTGGGAATCCATAGGCGTCTAAATATTATTATCATGACAAATGAAAACAAATTGGTTAATAAAGAATAAACATACTCCTGATATTTCTATAAAAACTGAAATGAGGAACGCCATTGCGCCGAAATTCTAGCTGATTTACCTCTAGAATACAGTGGAGTTAATACGTTTAATAAATGGACAAAATTCATATAGTAGGTAATCCTTAAAATTCCGTTTTAAAGTATTGAAATAATAATAAATCAAATATAAATATTTGAATGGGACTATTATTCCTTTATTAAAAATTCAAATTTGAAATTGATTTTTATTCAATTATCTGTGTAATTTTATACTTTTGTCCACTTCTAAAGAGAATATCTCACACTGTCAACAAGAGCGGCTTAGCTTTGTCCGCAAGCGACAAAGCCTAGCGGCATCGCCAACAATTTTCAAGTTTTTTTGCCGGCGTGCGGTGTCTTTGTTATAGTGTACCAGGACTAGGCTTAAAAATATAAAAATTATTTTATATTATTATAAGGGGTATTTTTCTAATTTTGAGTAGTCACCATAGAGATGTGATTTTCAATTGATAATGGTTATACTTTACTTGTAAGTTTATCGTCGTGTTTTTGATAAGTTATTGTACATAATGAATATCCACTTGGAATAATGCACTCATATCGGTGTCGACCCTATTCTTGAAAGAATTCAAACTGCGCGGTGACTGTAGATTTGACAGGCTGTTCCATGGGTAGACAATTCGATTTGCTAGGAAGTTCCTTCTTGGAAGCGTGGCGGTTTTTTCATTGCACAACTCTAAAGTATGTTATCATTGAGAGTAGAGAGGTCAAGGTTACAGAAGTAGACATTTCGAATAATTTCTCTCGATCAGATCTCCTTTCACACGCCTTTCTCTCAAAGAAGTGAGTCCCAAAGTGGATAGTCGAATAATGTAATCCTCATTACGGAGTGATGGTGGAATCTTTGTTGCTCGTCTCTGCACACACTCTAATATCCCAATATCCTTGATGAAGTACAGTTTCCAAACTGAGTGGGCATATTCTAGTTTTGGACGTATAAAAGATTTATACAGTTTCATAATGATGGTGTCACACGACTGGTCTTCAAAGGTCTTTTTTACAAGGTATATGTATGAGTTAGATTTTTTGGCTATTTTTGTTACGTGCATCTCCCATTTTAGATTATAGGTTACTATGACACCCTTACATGCTTCAGCTCAACATTGTTTATTTTGTAGACATATTCAGTGGTATTGGTCCCAATGCTCAAGGTAGTACATTTTTCTTCGTTTAGCCTCATTTTCCAGGTATTGGACACTTCTATAGCTCTGAGATCTTCTAGCAATTTCTTGTGCTCTGAGGCCTTTGCATACAATTTCGTGTCGTCAGCAAAAATTAGGATTTTGGTTTGGAAATTTGATGTTATATCGCTGACATATACTAGAAAAAGAAGAGGGTCCAGTACTGATCCCTGGGGCACCCCACTTTGGACTTTTCTTTTGGCTGAAAATGTTGCATTTATTCTTACTTGATAGTATCGGTTTATCGAACGCCTTCTCGAAATCGAGATATATCACATCCAGTTGCTCGTTATTGTCAAAGTCCCATGTCCAATCGTCCAAGCATAGTGTGAGATTGGTTGTAGTAGAACGCCCTGGAAGAAAGCCATATTGGTGCTTCAGTGATGGATTTTGCTCCAGTAAAACTGTTTCACTACAATTTTTTCCATACACTTGCATAGATTGCATGTCAAACTCATTGGACGATAGTTCCATGGAGCAGTTTTGTCTCCTTTTTTGTATATTGGAATCACAAACGATGTTGACCAAGTCTCAGGAAAGTTGTAAGCTTCAAAAATTCTTTTCATGAGATCAGACAAGGGTTGGCTCAGGGTAGCTGCACAATTTTGCAGGACCACTGCTGGAATTCCATCAGGGTGCTTGGCGAGAATTGTGGATATTTTTATCTTGCCAGAATTCATTTACCCTGTGTCCTTCGTTAATCCACGTTTCGTCCAAGTAATAAATGTTTCTTTGTTATCTTCTGTACTTCCCTTTATCTCTTGGTCAATCAATATGGATGTTCTGCTCTGCTTCTCCCAACAAAAGTTTAACTCGTCTAATATTTTCCACGATTTTTTTCGTCCCATTTGTGGAATATTCTCGTCCGCCTTTATTATTGCCGAGGGGGCAATCACTATGCTTACAAATGTACAATGATTACCATATTTTGCAATCACTGATTAATGAATCTCGTGTATTCTCATCCCAAGAATTGCGACTGATTGCCAATGATTTTCAGATATTTTTGTATGATGACCAGGTGATTTCCATTTTTTCTGGGGACTCCTATATCATTCCCAATTGATTACCTGATTTCCTCGATGATTTCCTACAATCATCCGATTTCCAGCTGATTTCGTCTTTTCTCTTATAGAAATACGTTTCCACTGAAAAATTGGCAACATCTGTATTTGCAACTCTTCCAAAAGTTAGCGACTTTTATTATCATTCCACAGCCACACCGATTTTGATGTAGGTATATATAGTTGTTGAGCTCTAGATACCATTGCGTGTCTACGTCTCTACACTACATAATATGGATCTAAAACAATGGATATTTCTTTGATTTCACCAGGATGTTCATCTGGATCAGAGACATCTTCAGTCAGGACTTCACTCGCAAAACTTATTTCTGATTCAGGTGTGCTATCGTCTCTGCTTCTCGCCCTGCCTAGTATTCATTCTACTTTCCCTTTCCAAGTTCTCATTGCCTTGAATTCCCGACTTTTTCTTTTGTGTCTTCCTCAGGGACATTCCCATAGTTCTTAATACTCGATCGACAAACGTCCCTGCACTCCCTGCTTCTCTGAAAAGAACCAAATTAAAGTTGAGCCCTAAATAATCTTTTAATTGTAGCAAATTGCAATTGCTAAACTCTGATGTGTGAAGAAATTCTGTGTCTTCTTTTGGCAAGTCGGATTCAAGAGAGGTTTCAAGATTCATGTTTTCATTTTTATGATCTGCAACATTGTCATACTTTGGGTCTGTTCTCACAGAAATCAGTCAGAGCGAATTTCATCCTAATCTTCATACCATTCTTCTTTTTCTTCAAGTTCTAAAGTCTTCGTAGTCTCAGGTTCAATTATTGGGAAATTCGTTGGGATATTCAAATTATCTAGCACTCAATGTCGCCTAAAACTTAGTCTTAAAGGTAAATACACAACTGTATGATATGCGGTTTCTGGGTTAGAATGAGATGATATTGATTCTTAGCGATTACCACATGATTCTCAGCGATTGCCAATGGATTCCTATGTGATTCCCATAAAGTCCTAAGAGATTCCTAGCGATTCCCACGTTATTCTCAGGGACTCCCAAGTAATTTCCATGTATTCCCAAAAAAATGTACAATGATTTCCACCCAGATTTCCACTAGTGGTTTACCCCTTGATTATTGCTAATATTTCATCTACTGTCAGAAACTCTTTATCTACGAATATACTTTCCTTCGTATTATACTTCTTGCTACTGCATCAACTTCTTACGGTTTTTCTCCGGAATTTTTCAAGCTTCACACAACTATCACTTTTTCTTTCGCTAAGAAGTCTAGAGATTGTTGATTCACTGATCCCTATTATATTGGCACATATGGAGACTATACATCGGATAGTACCGCCTTAAAGGCATCTGATGCTTAAGTGCATCATGTACATTCATTACTAGCTTTGGAATCGAGAACGCCCTTACGTTTTATGGGATTAAAACCTGATGACATTTTTACAATAAATACACACTGTGCATACACCAAGTGCAAAATTCAGAAAATAACTTAACCTACATACGATTTATGATCTTCGACCTTTTCTTGCCTTTCC